GAAATTGTCACCTGTCCAGGGCATCTCAAGAAAGCTGCTGCAGGCCAGAATGAACAGTCTGGTCACCTTGGTCCACTAATCTAATCGATGTCAATGAATTGAAAGGTACAATGAGCTGTCTATGAATGGTGCTGCCTTTATTTGTTTTGCAGACTAAGCCAAGCCACCACAGCCACATACTTACTGCCAAGCCTTGGTAAATGCCCGAGTCTGTGATTGTTCTCCTGAGTAGCAAGAAGGATGGCTGGGGCAGGTCCTGCACCCACACAACATGCAGCTGCACCCTAGTTTTGAGGAGTTGCCTGGGCGAAGTCTTTCTGCCTTTTCTCAACGCATTCGTTTGACTTGGCTTTTCCCTACAGCACCCTACACACCCTGTTGGCTGTTTGAGCAGAACACAGCACAAGGGGATTAATCTGTCTGCCTCTTCCCTTCTTGCTAACATCTGAGATTCAAAGAGAGGAAAACGGGTCCCCAGATGGTCATGCCAATCCCATTTGGAACAACCCTGACTTCTCCCCCCATTCCACCTTTCTTTCCATTTTCAGTTAAAAATTGAAGCAATAATAGTAGGCATGCTTTGATTTTGTCTTTGTACCCTCCGTTCAAGAAAGTTCAAAAATAATCATGTATTTTGCACCAAATTCTCCAAGTGGGCAAGCTAGCTTTGATTGACATGCGCTTACTCAATAAAAGGAGCCCTTGGGCAGTGCAAACAGTCAGTACACTTGACTGCTAACCAAAACTATTGAGGTCCAAGTCCACCCAAAGGCAGCTTTTTTGAAGTCTGGAGATCTAGTTCTCAACAATCCGCCAATGAAACCCCACGAAACACACTCTGAACACACGTGGGGGTCACCCGTGAGCCAAGGGTTGATTCCAGGGGAACTGGTTACCTTGGGAAAAGGCAATGTTTTAACACCTCGAAAATTATAACTTGGGACTGAAAAAGCTATTTATTATTTGGGGCATACTTTTCAAAGTGCTATTTCACACACACACACACACACACACACACACATACATACATATTTGCGTGAGAGAAAATCACTTATGGTCCAATTTGTCTTTAAAAGTGAGACAAAGAGATAGCAAACATTACTAAACCCAGATTATGGGTAAGTCTACCAGACATATTCAAGGTTACATAGCAGAAACCCAGGACAGAGCTTAACGTGATTGTCCCTTAATGTTTCGTCTCCTCAAACTTGCTGCTATTGGGTCAGTTCTGACTCATAATGACCTTGTCGAACTGCCCCTGTGAGTTTCCGAGACTGTAATTTTATGGGAGTAGAAAGCCTCATCTTTCTCCTGAGCAGTGGCTGGTGATTTCCAACTGCTGACCTTGCACTCAGCAGCCCAACGTGAAACCACAACGCCACCAGGGACATTTTAAATCACAGCCTGTCAGGGGTCTTAGGCTTCAAAAAGTTTTGTCTTCTCCATCCACCTCCACACGCCCCCTCCAAGCCACATACTTTAGATAGTTATTACTTCATATATTTTCTATTTTTATTATGTTAAATTAACGGCATGTGAACAGATCAGACAACACATGTGAGCACCACCACCTCTGGTCAATCAAGTTGCTGGTTCTGAGGGGCAGCTATGGAAAGTGGCGTCCAATTAATCTAAGCAGCCTTTCCCTGGACGAGTACACGGAAGTTTTTGTTCAGCTTTGTGAAGTACTGACGCCGAGGGCTGGAAATTGATTCCTACATTGTTGAATGCCTAGATTCCCCCAAGGACCCTAGGTCAGGACCCATTTGGCCTGGTTAACTCCAGCCCTGTGGCCCTCAAACTTGAATCTGCTACAGAATTCCCTGTGGGGGGTTGTTAAAGCACACATTGCTGGGCTCTGACTGTCTAGGTCTCTCAGTCATTCGCATTTCCAACAACGTGTCCAGGGGACATTAGAGAGGTTGATCCAGGGACAACTGTGAATATCTGCCCCAGATGCTGGCCTTGGACTCCGGCTCTTTCATGTTGCCCCTCGGGCCCCACCCTTTTCCCCCCAATGGAGCTCTCTGCGCTCTCTAGCCGTATTCTACTAGAAGGGAGCAGTCCCTGGGAGAGGACGCCAGACCGACCCGACTACCAGGCACACACTATTCTGTCCTCAAGAGCCAGCCCTTCTCCCTAACTGGCTTCTCAGAGGCCTCCCCAAAGGGGTCATTTTCTCCCTTTTCTGGGATCCTATGTCTTCCAGTATGTGGACGGCCCAGGACGAGCGGCTTTTTGTTCTATTGTCCAAAGAGCGTCCTGGGGTCACAGCTGACTCCATGGACCATGAGCGTCAACAACGGATGGGGGTGGGGTGGAGACTGAGTGGAGAACAGGGCCCTGCAGGAGGCCTGTTCCTATCTGGGCATCTTTTTCTGAGCTCCAAGTAAGCAAATGTTTATACACACAGCTGACCCAAATTAGGGAGAGCTGTGGGGACAGAAATAGGGACAGCCGTAACTAAACTCTGAGGCGAGAGCATGAATTCCCTTGTGAGAAGAGATTAATCTTCCTCTGGGGGGAATGGGGTAGATGTGTGGATGACTAAATTTATTACCATCTTTTAATTTGAAATCACACTGATTTATTATTTTTTTAATTTAGAATTTCTTGTTCATCTTAAATGTCAGGGTCCCTTAAATACCAAAGTTTGCCATTTGATACTCCCAGGGATGGCAGCAAAAGAGGTTCGGTATTTATTTTCCCAAAAATCAACTAGTGATGGGGGCTGGGATGGGGCCGGTGTGGGGGAGGCAAACATCATAGTTCTTACTGGCTCTTTGGGGGAGGTCATTAAAACCACATTCTCTGGAGTCCCAGAAACAGGCAAACATCTATTCCAGGACCATGGTAGGGGAGTTTCCAATAGCCTGACGTGAAACTGGCGGCCCATGGAACACCTCTTAAACCCCAAGGAGAATAACGTGTGTAAAACTCAGTCGTGCACCTCGTTGGCTTTCTTCCCAAGTCCTTCCTAAACCAACGTAGCTTCCCGCAGCCTGTGGCAAGAGAGTAGAGAAGGTCTTCCCACTTGTGCCCTGTGTGGATCTTTGCCCAGGAGTCATTTCGACTGCGAAGTGATGAATTACACAGCTTTTCAAGACTCAGCTACCAACAGGGCAGTGTTTCTGAGACCAATTAGCAGACTCTGCTGATAAAATTTGAAAAACCTTGGGAACAGGAGACCAGATAATTCCCCGTACCCCCAAATCCCAAGCCCGATTAGGACCAGTTGAGTTTGGAATGTGAAGGATAGCTCAGGAAAGATCCTTACCATTCCCCCCAGGAAGGATTTTATGAGGAAAAGAGTGTACTTTTCTTTTTGGCCACTTAGTAAGGCAACAGTAAGATCCATTCTTTTGCTGCATCATGTAAGCCATTATCCACATCAATCTAGAATGCACAGTTACATGACCAAAAGGCTCCCAGACACGTTAGAATCTGTTCACATCAAGTGTAGACAGATACGTAAGTGCTCAGTGGCCTTAAAGCAGAAGTTGTATGACCTGGTTGCCTGGTGAGTTGGGGCTGGGTGAGTTTTCAGAAGGCCCAAATGTAAAGCTGCCATTGCGATCGAAAGCAGGAAAGGGTTGCTTCTTACTGAAGATAATGACCATCATGAAACCAAAGATATATGGATAATTCAATGCAGTCAAACGGCACATCTCTCCAGATGATTGCTGGGCAGCATGGAATGAGGATAAATGGAGAAAGGTCGGTCTCAGGCAACAGATTGTGTTGAGGAGGTCATTTTAAGAGTGCAAATCAGAGAAGTATAGTGTTAGATCCCAGGGAAATGTGACATTCAAGCACCATATTCTTTTTGTGTGTGTGTCCTATGAGAAGTAAAGGCTGTATCACACCACTCTATAGTTGGGCCAAACCATGCAGATACATTACTCTCCATGTTCCTTTGGTCAGCCTTGTTCATGTTGAGAAGAGACAGGGGCTTTTATGGGGAGCCTCCTCTTAGTAGCTTCCTTAGCAGACTCCGGGTCTCTCAGCTACCAGGACTACAAGTGGGTCTACTTGACATCCAGAAAGTTCTTCTGAAAGCTGGTTGTTGGCAGCTCTTGATTAAGATTGTGCCAGTGGACCAAGGAAGCCAACACGATTGTAGAATGCCATAAAATGAGGTGCTACTACTTTGTGGAGTCAGAAGACTTTGAGAGGTGCTTCCAGACCATCTTGAGACACCGTCTTGCACTGCAGCAATGGTCCAGATTCTTTAAAACTCTTGTGTGCTGCCATGGTCCAGTGCCTGTATCTCCCAATTGTTAGATTTGTTTCTTAATATCATACCTTGAAAGAGGCAAGAATGTCAGAAGACCTCCACTCCTAGCCCTGGTTGTGCGATTCCAGTTAAGCCAAGCAATATCTGTGGCCCTCAGTTTTCCCATTCAATCCAGAATAAGGAATTGGACCCCACGGTCGCCAAGATTCATCCTAGCCCTCAAAGTTTAATTCCATGTTTGTCCCTCAACCTCCCTGGTTGTGTGCGCCTGACAACCCAGTCATTATCCAATGGTTTTGGATAAGCCATTGTCCCTCGTAGAAAAAACAAAGTCCTTCCCAAATTAGAAGCTTCACACTGACGCCAGCCACCCACTAGGCTTTAGCAAAGTCAAAGTGTGTGTCAGCGCTCCGGTCTACTCTTTCCAACACACAGGCACATACATGACTTCCAGCTCCAGTTTCCTGTAGACTCCTGTATTTCCACAGGAACTCGGAATGCCCTGCCTCCACCTTCTCTTCCTGTCGCATTTCTGCCTCTGTTGCTCATCCTCTTTGGGGCCTACATCCCACCTTCCTCTGTATCCCCAGGATTTAGAGGAGCTGGTGTCCCCTACACCTTTCCTCTTTAGCTGCTTGTTGTCCTAATATAGACGATCACTTCCATACTCTGCCTAGCTCAGCAAGCACACCAGCCAATATTGTGATGCTTCTGATCAATGCCCCAAACCTCACTCTGCTTACCTTTTGTTTTCCTGTTTCAGCACTGAAAAGTCCAACTGAATTCCATGAGCAAAGAAAGCATTTGGAGAGCGACAAGGTAAGTTTTGCAAACTTCCATTTCTGCGCAACCAGAGAGTGCAAATCTCTGACTGTTAAACTTTGGCTCAAGCATGAGGAATCCCTACAATGAACTCAACCAAAATACCAGTCCCTTGCCCCCAAAGCACATGGAGTCTCGTTGCTATTTCCTGAAAGCTGTTGAAACGAGATGGATTGTATTTGCTTTGGGAAAGCAGTGGTGGTTTCGTGATTCAATCCTCACTCTCCATGCGTGGCCACCACCCGTCTGTCAGTGCAGGCTGGCACGCTGCTGTGCTGCTGAACAAGTTTCAGCAGAGCTTCTAGACTGAGACGGACTAGGAGAACGTCCTGGTAGTCTATTTCCGAAAATCAACCAGTGAAAAGCCCATGAATCCCAGAGGTCCAATCTGTAACCAGTCATGGAGATGGTCCACTATTGATCGGCACGGCATTGTGCCATGAATGGGGTCACCTGCGTTGGGGACCAGGTCTATAGCCACCAATAACAACAACACCACCACTATTGGCTTTTAATATTAGTGCTATTGCTAAACCATCGGCAGTGTACACAATGTAAGCTAACAACAACAACAGAGATCAGTGGCCAAAGGTCTGATGCTATAGTCTGCAGCATCATCTACATCTTAGTGCGTGACGGAGTTCATGCTGAGACGCCGCAAGTGAAACATCTCTCCGTGTCCTTCCAACTTGTCAGTGTTTCGGGGTTTGTTTTTTTTTAACTTAAAACAGGCCTCAATCTTTCCTATTGGGAGTTGGGGAACTCATGGCAATAGGGTCTAAAAGGCAAGAAAAGGGAAGTATTCAGTTTTTGATACTTGGCTTACTTTGCTGACCAACCCTTTCTTATCAACGGTCAGATTTTTAAAAATCCCATTCAGTGGGAAGGCGGAGTCTACGGACACAGAGCTCGTTGTACTTACTGAAAGGCAGAAGGGGTTGTCATGATTCCCTTTCTGTCTCTTTATTGTTTGGTTGCTTGGCTTGGTTTTCTTTCATCTTTTCCTTGTTTCTTTCCTTTGACCATTTGAGGTGAAAAAAAATTGGCCTGTTTTCTGCCTCTTCCTAACAAATAGTTGAAGTATGATTTTTCTCAATAATACAAGTACAATTTTAGTACTATTGGCATTGTATTGGAAGAGAAGGAGAGGCAAAGGGGGCATCTTTCTACTCGGATGTCCCTGTCTGAGGGTTGGAGCCTCACAACTAGTCTGTAGTGGACATGGGAAGCCGGTCTTCACGGTTCTCCAAATGCTTGGGAGGAGGAATGAATCGAAGAACACAAACAGCAAACTTTGTCTCCTCTGTACTGCTGTGATCGCCACTTGTCAAATAAGGGACCAACTATTAGAAGCCCATTGCCATTGAGTCAACGCGACTCATAGCGACCCGACAGGAGAGGGTAGAACTGCCCCTGTGAGTTTCTGAGACTGTAACTCTTTATGAGAGTAGAAAGCCCTGTATTTCTCCCAAGGAGCAGCTGCTGGTTTCAAACGGTTGATCTTGAGGCTAGAATCTCAACTCATAATCAGGTCTCCCATTGCTAGAAATCAGGAGGAGGGCAGTGGTAGAACTTTCACCATCTATACCGCAGACCTGGGCATGACTCTCAGGCAGTGTACTTTATGTGGAGCCACCATCTCTCTTGTTGGTGGAGGAGTGCTGTTTTTAGTAGGTTTCAGTGAGGCTTCCAGACAAAGAGAGACTAGGAAGAAAGACCTGGTGATCCACTTCTGAAAACCAGCCAATGAAAACCCAACGGATCGCAACCACTGGCATTCCACCCATGTCAACGAACAACAATAACTGAAATCAGTGGCCTCAGCTCTGGTGTTAGCCTTGCTGTTGTCTACCTCATTGCCTACCCCACTGCTCCATGACTAAGAGGACGACAGTGAGACTCTACAAGTAACCTATCTCCAAGTGTCCTTCCAATGCATTGTGGGTCTGAATCTGCATGCCGTATGGTCGAGCACGTTCTAAGAGAATGGTCGGGGGAATAAAGGAGAAGGCATGCATCGTCCTGTTATACAAGAAAGATTTAAGTGATGCTTCATCTCTGGAAACCCTCACGACTTGGGGGTAGATTTGCAAGGCAATGAACTAAGATTCGTTCTAGTCCAAGCAGTTTGATATCATCATAATTTTATTCAGATATTCCTTCCTTAGTCACTTGAGACATTCAAGTTCATAACCTGGCATAGCCAAAAGCGTTTTGCCTCTTAGTCTTATCTCGACATCTTGAAATTACTGTAAGTCTTCCTTTATTAAAAAGTAAGATAACCCTCCATGGTATTTCCAAGACTCATATAAAATTCTCAATACCATTAGCAGCTGGAAAATGGGAAATAATGTTGTCCAATTCAAGAATGATTTGAAAAAGGGGGGTGGGGATATTTGCATTTCCCCGTTGTCATAAAGAGGACTTATCTCCTTTGAGAGAACTCGGGTTTGTTTTTTGTTTTGGTTTTTAAGTTAAACCTTAGTGATTGCACTGCACGCCTTGTTCTCTGACGTTGCTGTCAGAATTGACTTCGTGTTTATGTTCCACAGACTGAGGGCCATCTGAAGCACAAGGTCAGAAATAAATCCGAACGTGCTGACTTGGTTAATATGCACATACTCCAAGGTAAGGCTGCCCTGAGTCATCAGTAGGTACCCATGAATGATGAGCTATTCCGCTTAGAGGGCTTTGCCACTAGTTGCTAAACCCTCTTGAAAAAGTCTCCAAGCCCGTGCCAAAGCAGTGACTTTTGAACGAGTATCAAATAATTCAACACCAGGTAGACAATCCAACTGGGGGGTCAGATACTTGTCCAGACAGGTTCGGATCTCAGTTCTGCCACTTCCTACCGATAAAACAAAAGAAAATAAAACCAGGAAGAAGATAGGTCGCCATGGAGTGCATTCTGATTCCTGGCAACCCTCCTTGTGTCTGAGTGACGCTGTGCTCCATGGGATTCTCATTGTATGATCCTGGACCTTCTTCCAAAACACATCTGGGTAGACTTGAACTTCCAACCTTTCCATTAGCAGTTCCTCATTTGCACTGGACAATGATTTCTCCTAACAGACACACACGCCACCCCCACCCACCCACCCCCGCCCCAAGAATCAACTCAACTCATAGCAACACTATAGGATAGGGTAGAGCTGTTCCTGTGGCTTCTGAGATTGTAACTCTTTACAAGAGTACAAAGCCTCATCTTTCTTTCCTAATTATGTGGCCTGGGAAATGTATATAAATTCTGTGAGCCTCCATGTCCTTACATGTAAAATAGAAATAGTAGTAGCTATAAAATGTAGCTTAAGACCTCTCTTAAGGAAAGAGTAAATGAGGTATCACAAATGGTTTAATAAACTATCCAGTGTGTAGGAAATGTCTGACCCATTGTTTTAGTCTAGGTACTTTAGAGAAACAAAACCAGTATGTTAAAAATTTTATATATTTTTATACAGATAGATATATAACATAAGAAATAAACAGTTAATTAAATTATAAGGCAGTACAAATGGCTCAGTGTAACTCACTCCTGTAAGATAGTTGTGAGACACTGGCAGTCCTTCAAGTCTTGAGGGCCACCAAGAAGTCCTCTGTAGAGCAATTCAGGCTATCCGGGCACAGGCAGCAAACAGCGAGGCAGGTCACCAACAGTGAGCCAGATGACAGGGTCCGACAGTCCCCAGCTCAAGAGATGTAAATTCCAATAGTGTGGTGAAGCAGCTCTTGAAGGAACCTCAAATTACAGTGACACAGTCTACGGGTTAGGTGTCCCACAGGTAGTATAGCTTGCAAATGGAGGCACAGAACAAGCAAGGCAGCCGCACCCTGGTCGGATGATCAAAGAGACAAGAAAGGCAAGGCTTGCCGAACCATTTATCTTTCTGCCCTTCAATTAATCCCACATGTGTTTATCAGCCAGGATGGCACAACAAACTAACTACCTCACCCATATTAGTGCTTATTATTAATGCAAAACTGTAAATATAGATGCACATATAAAAATGTGAACTCACTTTGGAACATGATTGGGACTCACTGGTGGTTTCGGCAGCCATGAAGTCATTGCTTGATCCACTTTGGTGGTGGCAGCAGGGCCACCACCAGGGCGGGTAGAGGGTGCAGCCCTCCCTGAGTGACAGGCTCACAGGGCGTGATCCCACAAGGACTGTCTCTGAAATGCCCGTGCGGTGTTGCGGCAGACACTGGTAACAGCGAAAGCGCTTTCTATAAAGCAGCTCAGACGGAATCTACACGTGGTGACGCAGGGGGCTGCTAACAGAAGGTCCGCAGGGGGCAAACACCGGCTGCTCCTTGGGAGAAAGACGAGTCGGAATTGACCCGATGGCAGTGAATTTAATTTTTGGTTTTGTTTCATTTGTTTTGTTGGACAGGGCTAAACACCTATGCTAATTTACTTGTTGAACCTTTTACTGCACACCCATCAAAGCTGTTTTTATCACCCAGTTAGGATGACAGTTAAAATCAGGCGGTTTCATCCGTCCAGACTGTTTTGTAGCCACTGCTCTTGTCTAATTTGCTGCTGTTTCCACTACAGCACTGTGGTAATTAGTGTTTGCATACCTTTGCCAGCAACTTTCTGTGAGAATGAAGTGGTAATTAAAGGGGGGAAAAGGAGAAAAATTAAAATAAGCTTCCACTTAGTTACTAATAATTTTCTATTTTGTTAGTATTTGTGTAATATAAGAAGTCTTACTCTTAAGCTATTTTCCATCGCATTTGTCACTTGGTTTATGACAGAACTGATAATAAGCATAGGGATGGAAAGAGGGCTCAGGTGGGGCGGGGACGTGGTGGCGCCATGAGTTCCTGTGCGAGGTGACCAGCCCTGGGGAGGCCCCTGGCTGTGAGTCCTGGGGTGCCAGAGAGGACAGTCCGAACAATGGCGGTGGGCCAGGCGGTTAGGGTGCCACAGCAGTGTGGGGGACGATGAAATGGGGACAGCCACCTAATTGGCCTCCAAAATCTGGTGTCTGATTGGAAGAGGTGACACTTGTACTCCAGCTCCGTGAGTTCTTTGGGGCCACTGGTTCCCGCCCTCGGAAAGGGCAGACCCTCACGGCACCATTTATCCTTCGAAGCATTGACCTATGGAGCGAACACTGGGTTGTCTGCTGAGAGCTTGCTGCTGTGCCAGTGGAGACAGTGGTGAATAGTATACAAGTTCCTTCCCACGAAGAGTGTTCGCAGTATGGCAGAGAAGACAAAACGGAGACTTAGCAAGCAGCGCGCAGCATGGAGAGAGAGGAAATGCGCGGTGGTGTGGTCGCCCGGAGGGGCGTCAGAGAAGGGCAGGCGCATCAGACTAGGGAGAGGCGGCGAATGGCCAAGAGCTGACCTCTGGGAGCCAGGTCAGGTAGAGAACGGGCAAACGGAACAGCATGGACAGAAGCGCGGGGTACTATGGAGGGGACACGTGTGTTTCCTTCCAAGATACCGACTACATTCGCTGTAAGCAGCCTAGAACTCTTGAACTACCTGTGCGATGAAGCCCAAGTGCCTGGGCAGCATCACTTCTGATTTCGTCTGCATTCTCAGGACCTAACTCTTTCCAATCCTGGGAACGATGGAGTGTTATCAAAGATATGTTCTTCACTCATAATTTCTTTGGATGAAATGCTGAAGATTAAATCACCGAGTCCATGTCATGACATAGATTCTCCATATCACATGCTGAGGAACATAGATAGGGGTGGGAATTGAGGACGGGCAGAACGCCGGGAAGAGCAGCTCTGTGGAATGGGCGGCATTGACCTCGGTGAGGCAGCCCAGAATGTCAGATAGCCTCAGGAGGGCAGGGTCGAATGACTCCTGACAGAAGGTGACACATATAAATTTTGTCTCTTTGCAATGGTTACAAATTGGGCTGCTAATCACGAGGTCAGCAGTTCAAACCACCAGTAAGTCCTGGGGAGAAAGACAGGGCTTTCAACTCCCTTAAAGGGTTACAGAAACCCACAGGGGCAGTTGTAGGGTTACTGTGAATCAGTGTCGACTCAGCGGCAGTGACTTTGCTTGTGGTGATGGTTTTGGTCTTTGCAGTGGTGTCTAGGAGGAGACTGGGGCAGCTGCTGTGTCCACATCTTCATAAATCACGGCTGCATGACGTGTCAAAGAAATGCTATTTCAAATGAGATGTAGACTTTGCGATGATCAGGTTGGTGGATAAAAATAAAAATATTGTGCCGTAAAAGTATGGGAAAACATGCATTCTCATACACTGCTGGTGGGAGAGCAAGTTGGGTCAACATTTCTAGAGGGCAATTTGGCAACATGTATCAAGCTCCTCAAAAATGTGCCCACCCTTGATCCCAGTGATTCAATCTCTAGCATTTTATCCAAAGAAAATAATCAGACATACAAAGATTCAAATACAAGGATGTTTATCAGGGAATTGTGTGATGGGAAAATAGGAGGGAAAAAAAGAAAGAAGTGAATTGTGCAACAAGAGTGGATGGCCCGAACAGATGATCGGTTATCCATCTGACTGAACACTTCACAGTCATTGAAATAAGGCTTTCAACGTAGTCAATAAGAAAAAACTGTACCATGTTTAGTGAAAAGAGCAAAAAGTAAGACTATCCTTTAAGTGAAATTCTTGGAAGAAAATGTAGAACCCAACTATTTACCATCAAATTCTGGGAAGAGCTATAGGAGTATATATAAAACAGTACATATAAAGCAAAAGGCAAAGCCACTGCCCTAGAGCTCATTCCACCTCACAGCGTCGTCCTGAGAGGGCAGGCAGGGCTGGCCTGTGAGTGTCTGAGACTGGAACTCTACAGAAGTAAAAAGTCACGGCTTTTTGCCTGAGAAGCACAATAGTATAAATAAGTTCAAAGCAAAAAGTCCGGTTAAACAGTTGATTCTAAAACGTTCATTTCCTTTGCTCTGCATTGTTGCTATTTTCTTTACTATGACAATAAGTCATAAGGATAGTTTAATCAAAAGAGTTTAAGACATGCTTATTTTGTTTTACCGTCACCTGATCTTGAATTAGAATATCGGATTGGGGTCCACAGCAGACCCCAGTTCGTGTGTCTGGGTGATTCTACTGGACTCTCCTTCTGTCCCCAATTGGAACTGGGAATTAATCCCCTGAAGCACCAGGAGGCTGCTACATACAAAATGACCTCAGCCCTGCAGTTCATTGCCTAATATCAGAAGCCGCAAAGTGAGACAGGGGGTCAATGGCTTCTAACTTAATCTAGAAGCAAGCAAGGGGACAAGGATTGTGATCAACAGCAGTGGTTAGGAAGACTTCCTGAGGAAAGGAGTGGAGTGTAGATGATGGAGAGGAGGCGAGAAGCATTCTGGGATGAGAACACCACGATCACCAGGGTCCAAAGGGGCACCCGGTGAGCCCAGTGGGTCAGAAGCCTAGCAGGTTCACTGGGATGGGCTCCGAGTGGAGTCCGTTCTCAGCAGGCTAGTAAAAGCAGACAGAGAGACGTGCATAGAGAGAAGCATCATGAAGAGGGATCCAAGGAGCTGGGAATATTTTCCTAAAAGCCCTGGTGGTTGCAAGTTGGGCTGCGATTCGAATGGTCAGCAGTTTGAAACCACGAGCCGCTCCTTGAGAGATAGACAGGGCTTTCTACTCCCCCTGAACATGTACAATCTCAGATAATCACAGGGGATCACTATGGGTGGGCAGCGACTCGATGGCAGTGAACTCGGTTTGGTTTTGATCCTGTGGTGGTGGACACAAGGGAACCAAAGGATTCCGCCCCCCAGGCCCAGAGCAGCGGGGAACCCTTCACAATGGCCCGAAGGCTGGTGGTTTGGAGAAAACTGAGCCTCAGGCAGCTCCACTCTTTGGTTTGGGGTACGTTTCTCCTCATTTCGCGTAAGGTGCTTTGCAAATGCACCTTTCTAACATGTTTGCCCTTTGGCAACCAGACAGACACCCCTGACTTCAGCTAGGGAGAGAATTCTATTTGAGCCACCAGACATGAGGCCTGCATTAGTGGACTGATAAGGACAGACTATCATGGCTAGAAGGTTTATCCGTAGATTAGTCTCCTTTGCTATTTACCTCGGAGAGACCAAGGAGTTCCTGGATAGTGTAAATGGTTAAGGGCTCAACTACTAGCCAAAGGGTTGGTGGTTCAAACACACCCTGAGGTGTCTGAGAAGACAGGTCTGGCGATCTGCTTTAGAAAGGTCGCAGCCTGTGAAACTCTATGAATCAGTTCGGCACTGCACACTCAGGTCCCCGTGAGTCAGAATTGACTCATCGGCAACGGGTTGAGTGCTGGGAGGGGATGTGCTGTGATAGATGATGGCAAACCTGGGTGCGGGTGGTGGTCATGGTTACACGGGAACAGGGGGAGTGCAGTCGGTGCCGGTGGACCGTCCATGTCAGGAAACAGCAGGTGTGTTGATCCATCTGTGCTAACCACAGTTGATAGGTCAATGCTGTTTCCTTAAAACAAGAATCATAAGTGTAAGAATGAAACTCTACACCACTATAGTACCTGAACCGATAGCTTGTTGTTATATCTGGTTGGCTGGATTCTCCTCCAAGATCTTCCACAGAAAGGAGTCAGGGACTAACCCAGAGCCAGAATTTAGTGTTCGCTCCGTATGGCGGTGGACTTAGGACTTTGTCAGTGGCCTGTCTCACTCCCAGATGAGCCTATAGGATGAATTTAACATCAAAAACCCCTGTTTCGCTAATTAAGTTATCATTTAGAGGAATGTTGTTACTGCTGTCCATCTGCTCTTCCGGCTGGCCTAGATATGTGTGACAGCGTCGTCCCGTCTAAAACCCTTAGTGCAACAAACAACCTACCAACCAGTTAGCACCGGCATCCGTCCGGACTCATGCGACCCTGTGTGTGG